TTCAGGTTAACCGTGAAAAGGGCTATTAACATAATTAACATCAAGATCGTACTAGTTAATTAATGTGGCCACCTTTATTAATTCATCATACATCTGTCGACTGTCACAAACTTTAGGCAGACTGCAGTCATGTCATTTTTTTTTCAAAGTGGGGAGTGATACAATTTTAGTAACCCTAAACAAAGCAAAAAAGTCACTTGAAAATTTCTAAGACTTCTAACCACACCCCTCCCCCCCCCCCCCCCCCCCAAAAAAAGTCTCTAATTTAATCACTAATTTCAAACCCCAAAAGGCCCCTCCCCCTGGGGCTTAATAGAGCTTTTACGGTAATTTAAAAAGTTATGGCACATTGAAAATTTTCCAGAAAGCAGTTAAATAAATTAATAAATAGTTTATGGATTCTAAGTCACGCCGATGAGAAAAATTGTATGTCACAGCGGGTCATTGCGTTACTATTTTCCAGACCCACCCCAAGAAAAGATTGCGTGACAGGAATACACTTGTGTCAGCACCCGCGGGCCGAAGTCGTTTCCCTAGAATTTGTTTCACTGTAATTTTACCCCCGCTATTTCGAACTGCTGACTACTCGAACCAATTTTCGTTTCCCTTGGAGGTTCGAGAAATCGGGATCGAAACAAAATCTTATAGTTTCCCATGTAGGAGTAGAAATTATTTATTCTCAAAGATCAATTCCCTGATTTTCTTTACATGTAAAAACAACGCAACGCCCAAATGCAATTCGCGGCTGATTATATATATTCAACGTACAAGCCTCTACAAGGAAATCCTTGAAGATTTATGAGCTAAAACTATATCGACGAATCAGTTTTTTCTGCTATTCCAGAAATAAAAAAAATATTTCGTACATAATTCAACAGATATATACGATAGATACAAAATCGATTGTTTGAACATCAAACTTGTAACTAGTAAAATGTACATGGTGCGAAATAAGACATGTTCCCGCCCAAAAACCGGCGCAATCGATGTTTGCAAAATTTTACATGGAACGAGAAAACTGGCTGAACGGCTGAACAAGAGGAAAAAATCCTTGAAAACTAACATTTCACTACTTTGTTTTGCCTTGTTTTAATCATATGTTGGAACATGAAAGGTATAAATATTATAAACACTGGCTTCGAACTTTGCAGCATGTGTGTAGATCTAATTACAAGCCCAGACGAAAACTTGCCGGTTTGCAAAAATATTTTTACAGAGTGTGTCAGTAGTTTAAGGAAAGCTGTTTGATTAAATGTATCAAAATGATATGAAAAACTTACTTTTCTGAATTGAAGTCGTAGAAGTGCTGGATCCGCGATCTTACCCCTTCGTGGAAAGCATTGGAATGCCCCAGATCTCAGACAATCTTATTAAATATTCAAGTTTATACTTGCCTTATCTGATGGGATAAATTACTTTGTACATTTCCCACGTGCATGTTGCAACATGGAACATCTGTAAACAGCTATATTTCATCGAAAGCAGTTTTTTTGCTCTTCTCTTGAATGGAAACACTAATTGTTGAGCTAGTTTTGTGTAATTCTTCGATTAGGTTCACCGTTGTTCCCTGTATTGATATAAAATAAAAAGCTGTTCTTTCCAATGTTTTGCAGAGTGACTTTTTACACGTGAAAATGAGCTCCTCTGGATTTCCTTGGAATGCAACAACCTCGTTCCCAGGTTCTCTCTTCTATCGCTTTTGGCGGGAAGAAGAGAGACCCTGGGAACGAGGTTGGCATGACTTGCGGAGCGAACGCGCCAAAAAATTATCGGGAATCAGGTTTTGCCTGGGGTCTAAAAAATATAAGGGTAAAACCGTTTGAGGCCAAACTGGCCCACACTACCGGAGCGTATCCCGGTTTTCCATAGCATGAAGCTGACCAGGAATATTGCTACTCCCCCTGGGAATCTGCCTTTTATAACCCCCCCCCCCCCCCCCCCAGGCCCATTTCCCCGCTAACAAAAAAAAAATATTCAAGTTTTAAGCCCCCCTATATATGAGCCCCTCTCCCCGTTTATAATCCCACCCGAAACCCCTTACGAAGTTGTTTACGGTACCCCCAGCATTTTGTTAGCCATTTATACTCCTGGGTGGAGAGAGGCACTGTGAGTTATAGCAAGTATCTTGCCCAAGAACACACACAAGGTGGGTCGTCCGCTAGGTATAGAAAAGCCTGCAACATCGTTTTACTATTAAATTGATTTTCTCCTGTACAATCACAACGAAACTCCCAGATTCTTTAGATCCTGACTACAACGAGGTATTACAACAATTCTTATCTGCTGGGGGATTTACAAGAACAATTTCTCAGGAAGGAATGCCCCTGTACTCATTGCGTACTACTTGGAATTTTTGGGTGGGGCTGCATGGTGCCCCTATACAGGTCCGCAAGGCGTACTTGTGTGGGTTACTGGTCTTCATGAAATTTCGTCTCACGTACAAAGAAAATTATGTTTGAGTTAAAAATTCAGAGGTGACGAAGACTTTAGAGCCGCGGAATAGTCACTAGGCGTTCTCTTCTCTCGAAGGCGAGCGTGAGGTACACGTAAGGCCCTGGGAACGGGTTGTATGTCATTCGGTGACGTAATGAATTTCGCGCCAAATCGAGCGAGCGGGAAGGGAACGCCTGGGTACTAAGGTATTCAACCTCGTTTCCAGGGTTTCTCGGGTCTTCTGGCAAAGTAAATCCAAGAACGCCGTAGCGCTCACGGTTTAACGGTTTTCACTGTAAAACTAAAAATAGATGCACCTTGCTGCCCATATGGGGTAACTGACAATTGATGCTTTTATGTGCATCAATTTTCGAAAGCCGATTAACGCTAACACAGGATTAAAAGTTAATCAAGCTTTTAATTTCTCTTGTATAAAAAGTGTTTTTTTTTTTTGCTAATGTTTTGTAAAGTTTAAGATTAGTCAAAGTCAAAACAGAAAGACCAAAAATTTAAACAGAAAATCTTGCTGAAAAGTTACAAAACTGAAATCAAAATTCGCGCTAATCCTGGATTAGCTTAATCGTCCTTGAACAACCCGGCCGGGTATTAAGTACAACACAATCAATTAAAAAGGTTTTTATTTTCCAAAATTGTATATGAATATGAAAAAAAAAATTCAAATGAAATATATTATTTAGTATTTCTTTCTTTCTACAATTTCATCAATTTTGACAGGACTATTTATTATAATAATTCTTTATTAAATGTATCTTTATCGGGTATCGCATTACATATACAAAACTTGCGGGGCAAAATGTAGATCATCTGGGATCAACGAACACTGATAAATTTGTGGAGAAAATTCGAGGCACATGAAATCAAATAATAATTACAGTCACTCTCGTTAAAGCGGAAACCCTCGCGACGTAGTTTGGAGTCCGCAATAGCGAGAATCTGCAATAACGGGAGTAATTTTCAGTCAAACCTCTATAGCTTTCGCCGGGGGGAGGGCTAAATTTTGTCCGTAATAGCGGGTGTCCGCAATAACGGGGTGTCCGCAAGGCGAGAGTTGACTGTATAATATTTTAACAGGGAGCCCATGTCACTAATGTGTTTTTCATTGGGGCCCTGTAAACTAAATCAAAAATACAATACAACACAATAAAATAAAATAATAAAATAAAATAAGGATAAAACAATGGTTACAAATCTAACAATTGAAGAAAAAAAAATATTATTCTATAGCGAAAATTACTCTGAAAAGCAACCGTCTCTTTTCCTGTTATTAACTTGAAACTGCTTGAATATCGTGAAACTAAGATGTCGGCTGTAAAATGTTAAAAATGTACCTGTATTTTGTACTGAAAATAATAGGGATACGACTCCAGTTCTGGATGTAATATATCAAACACGAGAGACAGTGTTTCATCGCATTTCCAAACACCGAGAAGAGAGTTGAAATACGACGCGCAGCGGAGTATTTTTGACGAAATTTGAGGTGTTTGGAAAGCCAATGAAACACTGTCTCGAGTGTTTGATATATCTTCTCATTCGAAACAAAAACTAAGGAGTAAACGGAGAAATAAAATCGTAAAAATCTATGACAATTAAGACCGGGAGCGCTTACCATTTGTATGGAGAAACTTGTTTCGGTGGGAAATCAATGGAACGGTCCTTTTCAGTGGAAATGTTTCGGAAAAAATACCTCCAGAGGTATTCCTCTTTTCTCGTTTTTACCGAAATGATCGAAATATCAATGTACCATTTGCTTCTTGATGAAACACGCGGTTTGTTGCCCATGTTTTTTTTAGCCGGGCCCTCTCGGCATTCGGTAAAATATCAAATGGTACAGCTCATTCCCGTTCCGTTTCCTTCAGTAAGAAAAGTCCAGTACCATTTGTAGGAAAATTCTGACCGAAAAGCGTTCCGGGTATCCAAACCTCCGACCCGGGTTTTAACTTGATGAATTTTTAAAAATGAATTTGAGAAGCCAGGTTACATTTTGCCAGTCGATGCGTTTTCCATTACCATTTCGGCTTCATAGTCACAAAGTCAAGTCATAACAGTCCGGCTGAAATAAAAGAGAAGAGAACAGTCACGTTAAACAGGCGCTGGAGTAAAATGAAGCGCGAGTTTGAGGGGCGCGCGCGAGGAATAAAACGCGCGAATCTTTCTCGCCTTCCTCGCGCGTCTGTTCTCTCTCGCGCGCGCCTAAAATCTCGCACTCTTCTCCACTCAGGCTACGTTAAACAGTAACACATGAAAAAAAGAGGAGAGTATGATTTTAAACACTGAACGGGTTACAAAGATATCTCGCGCTAAAATTAGACCGGCGGGGGCGGGGGAAGGGGGGGGGGAGGGTGGAGGGGGCTTCCATGTGAAAGGGACGGGATGCTTGTCGGAAAATTTGAATTAAACCCCTAAAGGAGACCAATCTGGGCGTGACTCAAGCTTTATTTGACCCTAAAAGTTACCAGATTTCATGCCTGATTAGTGTAGACTAATACAGTATGACGACGTTTTTTATTTCTTCGCGTGCAACCCTAGCTAAACGATACATAAAAGGCCGACACAGTGACCACGGCAGCAATCGAACCTGGACCGCTTGATACGGAGTCCAACGCGTTAACCATTAGGCCACCGCGTCTCCCACTGTTTTTTGTTCATCTTAGTACATTATTATTTTGGTGTTTCCTCGGCTTTGAGGATAAACAATGACATCAAATCGCGTAAAATCTTGCGTGACATGTAAATGTACTTACCAAACCAACATGCTTGTTTGGGAACTTGAAATGACTCCAGCAAAACACGGGTAAACCCTACAAAGAGAGGAGAGTACGTGTTAAGAAACACTGTAACAGGAAAACCCAATGGCGAACTCATATACAAGTCATATTAAGAATAACTTGCAGAAAACCTATTTTGAATATTCGAACAGCAATTTGATTGCTACTCTCGTAAGCGGACAGCTCTACTTACGGCCGCCTTGACAAAATCCCGTTTGAACTCTTGCTCATACAAACTCTGTATTTACACATTCCCGTAAGCGGCCAGCTCCAGTTGCGGACACTTGTTCTGCTTCCCGAGGCTGTCCGCTTTTAACAAGAGCTTCGACTGTAATTATGATGTCTAAGACTCCAGAAAAGATGCTAGTTATGAGGATCTTATGGGCAGAAAATCTTATTAAGTTTCTGTGATACCTGATAAGTGGGACCACTGATAGCCTCCGACATTAACGATTTTGCCCTCGAGTAGTCTGTCACCTGAAGACACGAAAAGAAAAAAAAAACAATTAGCTGCATTTCACTCTTGAAATATATTGAGTTTTGATTTTTTTAATCATTTATGAGACATAAAATCTATTCATTTTTGAAACACAAAATGTCAATTCCTTCCGATAATAAGCACCCCTTTCTCTCTCCAAACGTTTGTTGATTTCTATAACCAATCAGAGAAAACATTTTATCTTCTTAGCCAATCATGTGCAACACCCAAACCAATCGTGATTTGTTCCACGCGACTTTTCCCGCGCTTGTCACTGGTTACATATTTCCCGCGTTTGCCACTGGCAACATGTTTTCCCGCCTTTGTCACTGGTTACATGTTTTCCCGCGCTCCCCAATAGTTAAATGTTTTCCTACGCTTGGCACTGATTACATGTTTCCCGCGCTCGCCATTGGTTACATGTTTTCCCGCGCTCGCCATTGGTTACATGTTTTCCCGCGCTTGCCACTGACTACATGTTTTCCCGCACATTCCATTCGTTACTGGCTACAAACTTTCGCACGCTTGGCAATGGTTACGTGTTTTCCCGCGCTTGTCATGTTTTTGCCCTGTGTTCTGATTGGTTCGTTAATTGACACTGTAGTGATTGGCTCTGCAATTATGTTGGTTTACTTCCAGTCTACCCACACATAGAACCTTACTTTGGTATCGTAACAACCACTTGGGGCTGCTGTCAGACGGTGTGAGAAGATCGCCTCTTGAGCAAATGGAGTTATACGGGTTTTTGTCCGAGTACGGGTCTTTGGGATAATCTGTAAAGAAGAGAAGTGAAGACAAGTGAATAACTTAATTTGGAGTACTAAAAGTTATGACGTCACAAAATGAAATTTGATCAGCTATTCGGAGGAAGCATGCCAAAAAACGCCAACTGGGAACGAGGTTGTTCAATTATTTGAAAGTAATTTTGTAGATCCCAACAAAATCGTGACATAGCTGCTTTAAAGGGTAAACATACCATTGTAGCGGCAGAATATATTTCATTGACTCAATATCCACAACCTGTAAAGTTAGAAAAATAAAATGCAGTGAAAAATTGAACTTCCATATTTTTATTAAATTGGTGCAAACCCTGCGAGACAAGGGATTAAAATTTGGCAGGGAAATTTTGTTCACAATTATTTGGAGCAAAATCAAGAATCGAATGAAATAATTTTCCCTGAATTTCCAGATTTCTAGAACCTGGCAAAAAATTACTCGGCAGAACAAAATTCAGGACTTTCCAGGAACTGTCAAAAAATCACTCTCCTTCCAGAAAACTTCAGAACAAAATTGCTGAACTTTCCAGGATTTCAAGGACCTGTACGTATGAACCTGGATGTATGGAGAGAGCACTAATGTTATCTCTTTAATATTGGTTTTCAGTCAGTTTCTGACAGTTTTTCCATTGAACCCCGGGGGGGTGGGGGACTTAATATAAAAGTGACGGGGGTGATCGTCGTACCTTTTAGGGGTTAAAATTTGTGGTTTGGTACCGCTTAGGTGTTACAATCTAAAATGATTACTGTTAGAGTTATTCCGGTACCTTTTAGGGTATTAAGCCGTTAAAAATATGACAAGAACTAGTTTTGTCTCAGAATTGGTACCTCCTAGGGGTGAAAATTAATTCGAGCCACACCCACAAAACGAGATTCTGGTACCTTTTAGGGATTCTTTTCCAAAATTCCGACCATCACCCCCGTCACTTTTATATGGGAGACCCCCCCGGGCATTGCACACTTAAAATGCAAACCATTTGTGACATCTGAACTTCAAAGGTTGCATATTTAAAAGTACTGTTAACAAACTATAAGCAACCCCAGCTACCTTTCCTTGATCCCGGCGGAATATCTCAGCTCTTGGAGCCAGCTGGTAGGTATATGACAATCCGTGTTTCTTCACAAACTCAGGAAAACCACTCAGGTTATATATCTAATGAAAGAAAATATGCAATGAACCTGATTAGCAAACCTTGAGTTTGTGGGGCAACGGGGTGACCCCCTCAGCCATAATCACTCAAGTAATCCTTGCTAATCATTAAGTGGAACCAATATTTTGAGCTCACGAAAAAAGGTTTAAAACTTTAATATAGATTAAACTTCACAACAATGACCATGACACCCACCTCTTCGTAGAAAGGAACCTTATAGGATGGCCAATAACCTGCTCTAAGGATCTCAGTTTTGATCTCCGCTGACCACCAACCTGATAAATTATAGGTCATAATCAAATCATCATGCACTTACATGTCAATTATCACGTCAATTTCATGTCTTACATGTCAATTATCAAATCACTTACATGTCAATCATGTTACATTTATGCCTTACATGTCAATCATCACGTCACTTACATGCCTTACATTTTGCTTTCGTACATTTCCTAAGTGGCGAGCCTCTATTGTTTTCAGCACGTGGTCACTTACGACCGCCCATTCTCGTAAGCGACAAGCTCGACTAGTTATGACCACTTTTTCGAAATTTCCGAGGTGGTCGGTCGCTTACGAGAGCTTCGACTGAACTAGGGTTTTACATTGGAAAGACATCGAATGCAGAGCCCAGGATCATGTTGAGTGGAGGAGTCTGGTAGATGCCCTATGCACCACAGAGGAGCGAAGGGGATATGAGAGAGATACAATCAACACAGTGTAACTCCACAAGACCTCTCACTGTGCTCAGTGCACAACCAAATTAAGAATTTCATATTTGGCTTTCATAAGAATCCAAGCTTCTAGTCATGGTTTTGTTTAACTCTGGTATTCACTACATACCCTGGGATCTGCTCCACTACCCACAGGGCTCCCGTGAGCAGGGTTTTCTTCAACTCAACCTGCTTCAGATCCAGGATCATGTATTGATTGTTATAAGTACCTACATGTGAGAAGGAAAAAGTATGAAAACTGTGATCACCAAGATGGATCACCCCATCACACCCAACACTGAAGACCCAGGTGGCTTTAGCAGGCTGGTGCTTAATTTCAGTTTCTTCTGACTAGAAGTATTGCTACTCTCCCTGAATGGGATGCTAGTCCATTGCAGGTTACCCCCAGCATTTTGTCGCTGGTACCCATTTATACTCCTGGCAGGAAAGAGGCACTGTGAGAGTAAAGTGTCTTTCCCAAGAACACAACACACTGACCCCGGCCTGGGCTTGAATCTGGACAGCTCGATCTGGAGTCCAACGCACTAACCATTAGGCCAATAGGCACTGCAGGTAATTCTAATAAATTACAGTATTCACATATTTTCTTTGATATCTCTTGTCAGGTTGCCTTAGTTAACAATTCGCAGGTAGCCATTTAACCTCCTGGGTGAGGGGGGGGGGGGGGGGGGGGGGCACTGTAAGTGTAAAGTGTCTTTTCACAAGAACACAACACAAATATACCATGTAAAGCATGTCGATCCAGAGTCCAACACACTAACCATTAGGCCACAGTGCTGAGCTCACTGCTTACATGTATCTCTCAAAGCAAGAGATAATTTCAATACCTGAGTTGTACTGTTTATAAACTTCTCCCCATTCTTTGCCGTTGTGAGCCATCACGTTAGCAAGCCGCACTCTGTGCCATGCTAGAAGGGATTGCGGCGTGACATCCTTTAACAGAGAATCGTTGAACATGCTGTTTGTTGTCTGTAGCATGATCAAGCCACTGATATGAAAAGGCAAATATTCACACATTAAATCAACAATTCAACATAATAATTAATACACAACATAATTATTAATACACATTTAGATGCCTGAGTACATAAACAGACAGCTTCCTTTGCATGTCAAATTCTTCCCCCACTTGAAACACAGCATGAAAAGTTGGCTTTGACAACCTTTGATTCGCGTCAAACGTGAGACAAGGATGGACGACTAACTTTGACACAGACGTCAAAGGTAAACAACACCTTTGATATTGTCTTTGACAAACATTTGATGCGTGTCAAAGTTACTTACAGCTTCGACAGGAATCAAATCAATCAATCACTCAGTCAGTCACAGTCAGTTGGTCAGTCAGTCGATCAGTCAGTCAGTCGATCAGTCAGTCGATCAGTCAGTCAGTCGATCTGTCAGTCAGTCAGTCGATCAGTTAGTCAGTCGATCGATCAGTCAGTCAGTCAGTCATCAGTCAGTCAGTCAGTCAGTCAGTCAGTCATCGGTCAGTCAGTCAGTTAGTCATCAGTCAGTCAGTCAGTCAGTCAGTCGATCAGTCAGTCAGTCAGTCAGTCAGTCAGTCAGTCGGTCAGTCAGTCAGTCAGTCAGTCACTGACAGTCAGTCAATCAATATTGAAAGCAGCATGTATTTACCTGTCCATGATATAAAAGTCATCCAGTGATTCCAGATATCCAGCATAACTTGAAAAAGACATCCGTTTAGCAACTGCATGGTTCAAAAAT